TCGAACCCAGGACCTATTGAATGAGAGGCGGTCATCATATCTCAAGACTACACCACGAGAGCTCTCTAATTGAGCTTTGACCTCATAGTTCTTATCAAACATCTGTACGTCGTCCTTATCTCCCCTCCTACTCTTTTGTGTATGTTACTCTCTGTTTTGTTTTGTTTCTGTAAAGTGTTTTACGGCGCTCACAACTGCATAAGGTCATATGAGCGCGCGGGACACACCTAATATTTTCAGTTGGTAGGAAATTTTGAATTTTGCCCGGGTGGCGGCCGAAGCCTACTCTTATCGATTTAGACCACCAAGGGATCTTTAACGTGCGCAACTTGCAAACGGGCCTTCCGAGATTTTTCGCCGTTGTCCGAGAAGGTTAGGTGTAGATCTTTCCTACTAGAAGATCAGGGGTGTGGCAGAAAGACAGCAGTAAGGAGGAGCCAAGGAGTAGCAGTAGAAAGGCTGCAAAAAGAGCCAGGAGCCCAGAGGAGGGGGCAAAGGAGGTGAGGGGATGGGGGCAGAACGTGGAAATGAAAGCAGACAACAGAAAATTGCGAGAGAGCAGGAAAGAAGGTGAAATTTTGAGAAGGTGAGAAGGTGAAGACAATTTTAGAGAAGAAAATTTTTCGGTCGCTATCCGGATTCGAACCCGGGACCTTTTGAATGAGAGGCCAACACTTTAACCTCTAGGCCACGAGAGCCCCCATGTTACTCTCTTGTAACACATAAACTATTCTTCGGCACTTATATATGACTTTATTGTGTTGCAAATGCCGTGAAACTCTCACTAACTAAAACTGACTTCATAGTTGTACAAAGCTAATGATTGATAATCCCATTCAATCGTGGGGGGGGGGCTCTCGTGGCCTAGAGGTAGGTGTTTGCCTCTCATTCAAAAAGGTCCCGGGTTCGAATCCGGGTAACGACCGAAAAATTTTCTTCTCTAAAATTCTCTACTTTCACCTCCTTTCCAGCTCTCTAACAATGTTCTGTCGTCTGCTTTCGTCTCTTCTTTCTGCCCCCACCCCCTCACCTCCTTTGCCCCCTTCTCTGGGCTCCTGACTCTTTCAGCAGCCTGTCTACTGCTACTCCTTGGCTCCTTCAGCCACACCCCTGATCTTCTGGTAGGAAAGATCTACACCTAACTTCTCGGACGAGGGCAAAAGATCTCTGAGGGCCCAAGTGCAAGTTGCGCACGTTAAAGATCCCTTGGTGGTTAAAAATCGATAAGACAGTAGACTGTCCCCGTGGTTTTATGCACCCCTGCATAATTTAGCAAAATGTGATCATTTTTTGGGCCTAATTTCTGATTATTTTCCTTTATCATTCTTTGTTAAAATGAACAGAATCGCATAATTTCACATTTTTGGGCTCAGTTTGCATAATTTCAGAATTTTTCTTGCATAAAACGACTTGGACAGATACGAGTAGGCTTCGGCCGACACCCGGGCAAAATTCAAAATTTCCTTCCAACTGTATATGTTTGATGTGTCCCGCGCGCTCATATATTATGACCCTTATGCAGTTGCGAGCGCCGTAAAACTCTTACACACACAAAAAAAGAAGCCAGACGTGAGGGTCTGTGATGTGACGTCACAAACTGCGACTCTCTCTCTCTCTCCCTCTCACACACACACGCACATACACACCGTTTATCATCTGTTTGTCTGTCTTTCTCTTTTAACTTTTTGTCTCTTTTCTCTTCTTCCTCTCCCTCTCATCCACACGCTCACCACACACAGACCCCCCCCCCCCCCCCCCCCTCTCTCTCTCTCTCTCTCTCTCTCTCTCTCTCTCTCTCTACCTCTCTCTCTATCTCTGTCTCTCTACCTCTCTCTCTCTCTACCCCCCTCTCTCTCTCTCTCTCTCTCTCTCTCTCTCTCTCTCTCTCTCTGTGCTCGGGACAAGGACTCTAACACGGACACAGACACAGAGACAACAGACAATAAAGTAGTGAATATAACACACAGAAATAGCATATACAGAACGAGCCCCAGCAGATTGCATTATTTATGTATATGTAGATATATACCGACGGACGAAGTAGAGTGTGAGAGTGAGAGATGCAGGATATCAACCTGATCCAAACCGAGCCAGGGATGAGGGAATAGTAAGTCAGCATATATAACAATTAG